ATCACCAACTGGGACGACATGGAGAAGATCTGGCACCACACCTTCTACAACGAGCTCCGTGTGGCCCCGGAGGAGCACCCCACTCTGCTCACTGAGGCCCCGCTGAACCCCAAGGCCAACCGGGAGAAGATGACCCAGATCATGTTTGAGACCTTCAACGTCCCCGCCATGTATGTGGCCATCCAGGCAGTGCTGTCCCTGTACGCTTCCGGCCGTACCACAGGTATCTTTGGATTGTGAGATCGTCCCTGATTAATTACATTCCCAAGTCACTGACCTTGGCTGTGAATCAGTCTCCCAGTGAAAAAGGGAATGATCCCTTTCCTCACACTCCCTGGGAAGATGTCTGTTCTAAGAGAGAGGTGACAGTAGTACCCTGAGGTTGGTTTCAGAGCACACTTATTTCTAAGAGCTGAAAGAACATGGACTTAGAGACTTCCATTGCCTAAAGTATGCAGTGTCACACATCCAGACTCTGCACAGCATATCAGCCTGGGATGTAGCAGTCACGGGGATGTGTTCACACCATCACAGCCCCTGGGCAAACATTTCCAAAGAGAACCCACATTCCCTACAGGGTCTGAGTCAAAGAAGAAAGAAACATCTGAAAGTTAGATAGGAGGAAAGAAAAACATGCCTGGTTGCTTGCATAATGTGCTAGTGGCTGGTAAGAGGGATGGTCACTTGAAAGTGTCCAGGGGAATTTTTCTAGTGCAATATTTAAAAGGATGAGATGTTGCTGGCTTCAGATTTAGCATTCATTATGCTCATTTCTATTCCTCATGTGAAAGGGATCTAATTCTATCTGGATCCTTGCCCAGTGCTGGTATCTCTTAGCCAAGATTGGAAGCAGGCTTTGGCATGGCTAAAGCAGTGGTCCTCAGGGCTTCACCTTGTTCTCATCTATTTCCTCTGACAGGCATTGTTCTGGACTCTGGGGATGGTGTGACCCACAATGTCCCCATCTATGAGGGCTACGCTTTGCCCCATGCCATCATGCGTCTGGATCTAGCTGGTCGGGATCTCACTGACTACCTCATGAAGATCCTCACTGAGCGTGGCTACTCCTTTGTCACCACCGGTGAGTGTGTGTGTGTATCTCATCTGCCACGGCACGTGCCTGGTTTTCTTCCTCCACCAGCGAACCCACCTACTTCCCCGCGGTCCACTTCACTCTTCAGAGCTTAACTGTGACACCCTTTATTTCTGCAGCTGAACGTGAAATTGTTCGTGACATTAAAGAGAAGCTGTGCTATGTCGCTCTGGATTTTGAGAATGAGATGGCTACTGCTGCTTCTTCCTCCTCCCTGGAGAAGAGCTATGAACTGCCTGATGGCCAAGTCATCACTATTGGCAATGAGCGCTTCCGCTGCCCCGAGACGCTCTTCCAGCCCTCCTTCATTGGTGAGTGGTAGGGTCTGGTGCAGAAGCACAGCTTTTCCCTAGAAATCTTGGGCTCTTCCAGAGTAAAATCTATAATAATCAACAATGATTAAGGGGAACAGAAATCATAGCTTACACTCTCACACAGTTCAGCCTCGGGTCCTGATGATTCATTAGAGGATTGGCCATCACTGCTCTGTAGCAATAATATGATAGAGGATGACACACTGGCTTCATCTCAAAATAAGGAACGAGACAGAGTAGGAACTGAATAACCCATATCTGCAAGGAAGGGATGATGACTCAAGACTGGTGACTTAATCCGATAAGTTCCATCACCAAGTAGCTGGACTTTACTTTCAGATTGCTCATTATTAAGTGCAATGACAGTCCTACTCATGGTAATAACTGGACACTTGTATATTACCAAACATCTTTCCTAAGGCGTGATTTCCAAAAGGAAGCTTCTCAGGATCTTATTTTAGTCATAAATAAGAATTGCATTTATCTGAGGTAAATATGTGCCTTGTCCTTTTCTAATGCATCTCCATACATCTGATGGGTGCAGCAAGTGTTCTCTTCAAACAGGTGCTAAACACAGTTGTTCGTTTCTTGGCAGTGTGTTGTGGATTTACTGTCAGCACTTTGAAGACATCTGTTCCACAAAACCCTGCAATGTATTGTAGAGGAACATATGTTTCAGAGACAAATGATGACAGTTTACCAACACAGAGGAGTCCTGTTCCCTTCCCTCCACCCTGGTCCCCTGGTATGAATGCACTGTGATTCGGTTTTTAACTTGTTCCTAGGTATGGAATCTGCTGGCATCCATGAAACGACTTACAATAGCATCATGAAATGTGACATTGATATCCGCAAGGACCTGTATGCCAACAATGTCTTATCTGGAGGTACCACCATGTACCCTGGTATTGCTGATCGCATGCAAAAGGAAATCACTGCCCTGGCTCCCAGCACCATGAAGATTAAGGTAAGGAACTTCTGTGGGTGGGGGAGCCAAGGCAGGTCTCAGTATTCCAAACAGAATTCCTAACTCCTTTCCCCTCACATTTAGCCTCCTGTCTCCCATAGACTTTACCCTTTGGCTTTTCTAGCACTTTTTCTAGAATTTTGTCTGATTTTTCTAGCACTTTTCCCAAGATAGGAGACTTGAAAATACTTTCAAGCCGTGGGTAAAAATAAATCTTTGAAGAAAAAAAAAAAAACACATCTTTGAACACATTTTAACAGTCCCCAACTTTCAGGCTAGCCTCCACCATGCAAGTCGTTTATTACCACATTATACGGAGAAGTGGGTCAATTCTATTTTGTAGAGACTTTGACAGTGAAAATGATGAAATGGAGAAAAACACATCAAACTTGACTCCACCATATTCCTTTGTGGTACGAAGTATCACGTTACAGTGAATTGATCACGAATACATTTTCTATGAATCTTTCTAACGTTGCTTACTGTGTTGCTTGGAACTTCAGAGTTCACTGGAGGTGTTTGTTTTCGCTCTACAGATTATTGCCCCCCCAGAGCGTAAGTACTCTGTCTGGATCGGGGGCTCCATCCTGGCCTCCCTGTCTACCTTCCAGCAGATGTGGATCAGCAAGCAAGAGTATGACGAGGCAGGCCCATCCATCGTCCACCGCAAATGCTTTTAAGACGCCTTCTCTCTTAGTCTGCCCTACATTCAGGATGACAGTATTATGCTTCTCGGAGTCTTCCGAACCACCTCCCCTCATCTCTCATCAACCATTGTACAGTTTGTTTACACACGTGCAATTTATTTGTGCTTCTAATATTTATTGCTTTATAAATAAACCAGACCAGGACTTGCAACCTACAAAAGCAAGCCTCTCATTTCTTTTGGGGATTTGGGGTAGGAGTGGGGTGGGGCCAGAGTTTGCTCACTCAATCCATGGGCTCATGTATGGGCCGCCTTGACACTGTGAGCATGGTAATATCACAAACAACAAAGTTCATCAGATGAATTAGTGTGACTTTCAGCTGGGAGTTCCAGCATTA